ACATCGGCACGACGTCCCGTCTCGCTACCTCGGACTCGAGTGGGTTCTGTATCCGGCCGAGCAGACGCGCCTCTTGACATTGGCCTTTTCCTGGAAAGCTGCGGTAAGAAAACCTGTGTGCGACGGAAGAGCGCTGCTCATGGAGCGACGGTAGGTACCGGGGCGCGACCTCCTCTTTGTCTGTGCGGGGCCTCGAAGTGCGACGACAACACTGGTACACGAGGGTGTCTCGCTGACTCAAATCGTCGTCGGCCCCGTCGCCTGCGTTGTGGACGACCTGCCGACGCCGCCGGACGCGAACGGCGCGCTCTGCGACGGCACAATGGCCTTTGCCCACAACTTTGGCGCGTCGCCCGAGTATACAAGCACGATCTTGACGCCACACGCAACACAGGCGCGGTGGCGTCTCCACCGAAATATGCTGGCGCAGCCCAACGCCAAGGTAGCGTGTTTCCATCGCTCTTCAAGATTTTAGATATGGCGTGCTGCTAGATTCTTGTTGGCCCCGTGCTCGGCAAGCTCACACCGACATCGGTTCGGATCCTGATTGAAGTCGACCGTGATGTCAAGACGTGCGTCTGCGTGTGCACGAAACCACACGCGACCGACCGGTGCGCCCTATCGAAACCTTGTCCCCACGAGAGAACGGATGTAGCATCACGGCTTCGAGTGCACTCTGCGCCTACACGCCGCTGGCCTTTTCGCTCGTGGAGCTCACACCCGCGACCGAGTACATTGTGACGTTCGAGGTACGCTGCCTGGGATTTGGAGGTGCCGCCACTAGGGTTAGGGTATCGCACCGGCATCAGTCGTGACACGCTTTACGACGCCATCCACGACGCCATATGCCTTTTCCATGCTCACGGTCCACGACACCAACTGGCATACCGTGCTACAGCGGTCGGGTGACACGGCCGTGTCATCGTCATGGGCAGACATCTTGCGCAGTCGGTCCATCAACGCGACGGAGGCGGCGGCGACGGCGCATACCAACGGCGACGTCCTCGGTGTCGACGGCGCCAAGAACCTCTGGCAGCGCGTCGATCTCGACCACACGTCGGCTCCGCTGCGAAAGCCAATCGTACTTGTGCACAGCGGCGGCCACGTCAACCTGCGCGTCGCTTTTAGCGACGCCGAGGTAGCCACCACTTGTTTTAGATGCAATTGCAGTAAAGTGGTTTGTAGTTGGCGGCCATTGTCACTCGTCTTGTGGCCATGGACGAAGCGCACTGGGTCTCCGTGCTGCCCGAGGTACGGCCCCAGGAGCGACGCACTCGCATTTGCTGTTCGTAGTTGCGACACGCGATGCAAGAAGCCTACCGCGTCCAGTGGAACATTCCGCCTTTCCGAGACGCGCTGCGCAACTGCAGTAACATCATGCTGTTTGACGAGACGGACTTGTATTTTCGCCTCTCGGTGATCGAGGGACGGCTCGATGATACGGTGGACGCAGCCAAGGCGGCGCGGGTCGGGCTCGCACGAGGCGACCGGTAGTGCTCATATGTAGCGTAGGTGCTTCAGCTGCTCCGGGATACCGCGTACCACGTCTGGCTGCTTTACGCCAACCAGCTCGCAACGGATGTCAACGTGCAAGAGTCACTCGCGTCAACGCGGACCTCCATGTTTGCCAGCTTTGGTCAGTGTACACTGATCGTGCTCAACCAGCACGCAACACCAAAAGAGGCGGCAACGGCCGCGCCCGTTGCCAAGTCGAGTGGCATCGATCTCTCCAAGGTGACGCAAGCCAACAACTTGCTTCCGCCTGGCGCGTGGCTCACGCTGGACGACGCGCTTCTTTACAGCAAGCAAGGCTGCAAGGTGCTTTTGGTGGTTGTAGCATTTGATGCGCTCGAGGTCGCACTCAATCCGCTCTACCTCGTTGGTGTCAACCGGCTGTTTGAAAAGCTCTTTGAGTGGAAGAATCAGGCGCCAGGAGCCGACCGAGAGCTGCACCTTGTGACGCTAGGGCCCGCGCTCACAACGTACGTGATCACGGACCAGCGGAGCCAGGGCGTGTGTCGCTTGCAGCAGCTCGCGTCAATCTCCACGCCGACGCGCGCATCGTCGACGCCTCTGTACCCGCCGAGCGGCGCGATCACCAAGCGTTTT